TTACTAGGGCATTTATTATTTTTTTCTACTTTAATTTAGTATAAGCAATCTTGATTCACATTTAGTAAGATACATTTTAACTGTAAAGCTGTATATAAAATATAGATCCGTTGAGATGCATATAAAATGTACATACGTGAAAATGTATATAAACTGTATATCTAGATATAAGAAGATGTGGTATGAGTGCCAATGAGACAACTCTTCATCCAAGTCAAAATTTATAAAAGTAAACCATTATAGGTCAAAGTACGGTCTTCAACACGGAGCCTTGGCTCACACCGAACAGCTATAAAGGGCCCCAAAAATTACTAGTGTAAAATCATTCAAACGGCAAAACCAACGTTCTAATCTATATAAAAAACGAGAAACGAGAAACACTTATGAACCACATCAACAAACGACAACTTCTGAAAATCAGATTCCTGACTAAGGACAGGTGCAAACAATTGCAGCGGGTTTAAACGTTTAAATGGTACCAAAACTTCACCCTTATCTGAAACAATAGTGTAACATCACAACATAGAAAGACACACTATAAAATATCAACTGAAATGGCTTAACTCAATCAAAGGACATATTAACACCAGTGAACATACACTGAACAAATAAATTTGATCTATGATACAATGTAAATACAAAATAAATAAACTAAGGGAAGAATAATAAAAGTAACATGTTATACCGCTGTGAAATGTTAAACAATTTAAGAAAAACAATATGCTCGAACAAAAATATCAGCCATTTACAATTTAAGAAAACAATATGCTCGAACAAAAATATCAGCCATTTGCAATTACTTTAAACACAGGTAAATGAAAATAATTTTGTTGTTAGGTATACGTGTACAGTTCAAATAGAGAAAGGAAATATTTTTAGAAAATAAATAATTGTGATGTTCATAGTACGAAGTGAAAATTTATAGTTTATATACATCTTTACTATTGTACAGTTTATATGCATCTAATTAGATGTACATCTGAGATGGGGAAAATGAACATCAGTATTATCCCACATTTTGTGACTGAAATGAGAAGGGCTTTTCATATTCTTCGTTTATGTTTTTTTATTGTTTTGTTTTTGTTTTTGTTTGTTGTTTGTTGCTTTCTTTTGAGCGAGTTTTAATTTACTGGTACTTTGTGCATATTGCAGTGTTGTTCAATATTAGGAATGTATATCCGTAAAAAGTTTTGAGGGAGGTCCAAACAGAAGTCTTAATCGTTTTATATTGCGTCTTAATGTTATGTTTATATTCTAACGCTTCACCGATTACACGTGGTGAGCTGGTTTAACTATCTTAACTATAAGCTAGAAGCCACATAGTGTTGTGTTGTTGAATTACAATGAGTTAGTACCCTTTATTTCATCGCGATGAATATTTTTTAAGGAAACAAAATAAGAAAAAAATATAAAGCTAATTAAACTAGAGAAGTAATAGGATATTAAACAAACAAAGTGCAAATGGAAACAAAATAAAATGGGTTTATTATTCAAAATAGAATTGCCAAATGTAAAATATAAAAAAATACCACCAAATATCTACTTTATATTGTAATATTTTTTTTACAAACATTACCACTCAGAATTGATGAAGGTATGTGTACCAATTTAACCCCAGACAATTTTTTTCACTGGAGTCTTCCCGATGGACTGCTGCAAACCATATAACTTAAAATAGTTTGGCATTGCATAGGTCATGCACAGAAGTGAAGAAAGCATATTGAGTGCTAGCATCAAAATAACACCATCATTTTGATTTTTTTTAGTTTTGACACTTTAACTTAGGAAAATATAACAGTGATACAAAATAAGTTAAATAAATTGGGCTTTAATATTTAAAAGGAATCAAAAAGGTTAAAATATGAATAAAAATCAGACTGAATGGTCAAAATTCAGAAGTTGAATTCAGTTTAAAGTGAACGGATATTCTTTTATTCATCATAATTTTTACCCGCTCTGTAGTGTTGGCAGTGCTAATGTCATCAATTTCCCTTGGAGTTCGGTATTTTTGTTATTTTACTTTTTTTTCACAGAGCTGAGTAGCGGGTCCCGTGTGGGTTAATCTTCTTGGATAGAAACAATATCAATGCTAAATTGGCATAAATATTTACCTTTATTCATGCAGGCTTTTTCATGAAGCAAAACAACTACAATCAACAATTTAGAATTATATAGATGTTTGGTTCCTTCATGTCTTGAGGCAAATATTCATGCACATGTAGAGCGTTAACAAGTTCAAAGATATGATGCTTGCCCAACAATTCTGGTGGGCATAGATTCCTTAATCCATTTATCCAACACATGGCTAGACGATGATTTTCACATGTAATAAAACAAATAAAACTGCATAAAATAAAAATTTAAATAATTCCTGCCGTAAATTCTTTTTATTAAATTTTTAGTGTCTAGAAATATTGATAAGAGTATCTCATATAATCTTGGAAAATGCCTTGATCGAAGAAACTGTTATATCCTGACTTCTGCCAACACCGATAAAAGCGGAATAACTTTGCATTCCATAAGCATCTTAAGGTGGTACCCAACACCTTCACTAAAATTAATTTGGCTCGTTTAATTTTCATAAAATTTTGACAAAGTATTTACTTTGACCCTTTGACAAAAATATAAAAATTTCAAAAAATTTGAACCAACCAATTTATCAGAAAAATTAGACTGGTTATATAGCAGTTTGACAAACACTAACTTTGATCATTGAGAAGCTTAATATTCCCTTTACAACACAACGTAATTAAAACGTTTAGCTGATTTTACTCCCTTTTACTTGAGTTATCTCCCTGTAGTGTTAGGTACCACCTTAAAAGCTTTCCAGTTGACTTATTGACATATGTATCATACTGCTAGTAAGTTGGTTGTTCGAATTTAGAGGTTTAGTGTTTTCGTGATCATATTTATTTTATATTCTTTTTCATTTCAAAACTTTGGTCTTTGGTTTCATAGGAGAAAGTATCATGCGGGGACGTCAAACGCTTGGGAAACAGATACCGTAATGCATGTTTTAATTTTAAATATTAAGCTTTTATGTCTCGCATTTGATAGTCTCATAGTCTATGGGTTCGTCCATTTGTATCAGATTTAAGTTTTCGGTTAAGTTAGTTAACCATGAAGTTGACATGTAATCACTTTAACTTGAAATTTAGTACTTTTCAAATATATTTCAAATTAGAGTTTTTATCCAGATTTCGCTGTTCATTGGACATGGAAATGTGAGTGTGCGGATCGGGTTAAATTCTTTTTGTTAAGTTAGTTCACCGTGCAATTGTGATCACTTAGTTCACATGTTCCTTACGATTTGTACATTTCAGAATTAATGCCAAATCATGCTTTTGACCAAGTTTCGTGGTTAACTGCACATGGAAATGTAATAAGACGAGCATGGCATGGGTTCTTTGGACACATATTTTTGTTTGTGTAGCTTTCATCTCTCTATAATTCAGTTTAAATTTAAGAAATAACTTTTACCGGCTTTTTACTGCTGGTAGTGCTTACGATTACAATTCACAGAGGTTTCCAGCATATTGGTAAATCTTCTTTTAGAAAAGGGGGAGTCAGTATGTCATTATATTGAACAATACCTATACTAAATTGGTGTCTAATCACCCTTTACTTATACAGGCTACATTTATTCTAAAACAAGTTGTTGGCATGATACTGGTTATGTTCTTCTCGTATATTTTATGATGGTATGATACTAAACCCCTAACGGGAGGGATTGTGCTTGATTTTCATATGATGATGATAATCTTTCAATCAGTTTAATTGAGGTCTCGAGCTGGCATGTCACTAAGTGCTAGTATTCCTTGTTAATTTGTGTTGATTATGGCCATTTTGCTTAGTTTCTTCAGTTACCTATTCTAACATCGGACTCCAGACTTCTTTTAAACTGAATTTTACTGTGCGTATTGCTGTGTGTTTGTTTTTTTCCAAATTGGCTAGAGGTATAGGGGGCGGGTTGAGATCTCACAAAACATGTTTGACCCCGCGCGCATTCTTGCGCCTGTCCCAAGTCAGGAACCGCTGGCCTTTGTTAATCGTGTATGTTTTTGTAATTTTGGTTCATTTATGTTTCGGAGCTTAATGTGACGTCCATTTTCGCTGAACTAATAAACATTATTGTTTAGGGGCCAGCCGAAGCCCGCATCCGGGTGCGGGATTTTCTCGCTGTGTTAAAGGCCCATTGTTTGCCGTGTGCTGTTTTCTGCTCTTTGGTCGGGTTATTTTTCATAAAGCAAAAAACTACATTCAACAATTTAAAATCATATTGATTTTTGGTTCCCTCTGGAGTTGAAAACATTTCATGCATATTCAGAGCTTGAACAAGTTGAATGATATGTAGTACTTCTCCCAAAATCATGAAGGGATTAAATTTAAAAAAGCAGAGATTAATAACTACCAACAATGGGGTCGCTTAATTTATTAAACGTGTTGTTTTCAATTTTTTACATCACTGGGTCGATACCTCTGCTGGTGGACTATTAGTCCCCGAGGGTATCATCAGCTCAGTAGTCGTGCAGTACTTCGGTACTGACATGATTTATAACAAACCTTTCTAAAATTGTCCGTTTATAAATTTTGAAATTATAAAGAAACTAAGGTTTCAACTCCCTCAGGCAAAGTTGACCTTAGATGAATTTGGCTATTTGTTTTGTTTATTTTTGTCATATAGCTCTTCAACTGTTTCGGTACTTATACATCCCTCGGATTTCAAATGTTTGGCTTTGAGCGTTCCTGATGATTTTTAATCCATTGTTCACATACAGTTTGAAAGTAACCTGAGGGATTACTCCAATTTTCAGTACCCGTGTGATCTTTTTACCTGTTTATGTGCATTACATAGAGTATAAAAAGGCTAAAATTACACTTGCCGAAACAGCTTCATTAACTAACTTATATAAATGAGTACATGCTGCTCGTGCATGCAGATTTTGTACCAGAAATTCGCTGTAAGTTTTAAGCAATAAAAAAGGTAAAATAATCAGACATCGAAAAGGAAAAATCTATTTATTTGCTATTTTTATAATCATTAATTATTTCATCCCATCTGTTTAGAAGGTCAATTTTGGGAGTTTTCCAGAATTTCCAAAGCAATGGCCAGCCTCGTTTTGCTGTCTGAAGAACATAAGTATTACTTGGCGTCATATGATAACTGTATGCTCCCATAACCAATGATTGAACTAGTCTGCAGCATATACAGATTCTCATCACATCCATTTCTTCAGCATTTAATTTCAATTCGGTAAAATATCCTGCAAGCACGTGACCACCAACGTCTAACTGGTCGAATTCTTTGCAATCGATGGACAAATAGGCAACCATAATGGCAACGTCGAAAACTCTATAGGAATATGTCGCATCAGCAAAATCAATAAATGCAGTGACGTCACATGGACAACTTTCACCGCTTGTTGTCTTCTGTTTTTCTGTAATTTCTCTCACAAGTATATTTTGTTCATTTATGTCTCCGTGAATATACCCTATAGTGAATAAGACAAGAATATGGGTTTATAGTATACGTCATACCTATAAAAATACATGTATTATTAATTAGCTATTATATCATTTGACTAAATATACATGTACCTGCTCCTACAATACAAAAACTGTCCTCCAGAGTGAAGCCCATTTTCACTTATGCAGAAAAGAAGTTTCCACTTTAATTATTGGTACGAATTTTAATTTGCTGAACAACGAAAATAATCAAAAATGATTTAACTCTCGTAACAGCGTTATGTGAGAAGTTATTGATTAACTAAGTGCAATGAGTTCAATTTGTCATAATTTAGAAACAAATCATTACTATTAATAGCCATATGAAATTTTGTTTTAAGCAAGATTTTACTATATCAACAACCAAAATGTCAACGGCAGAATTTTCATATAACAATCAATTGTAATAGACAAATGTTACTACATGTAACGTGAGGGTATCCAAATTTTCACCTATTTTGAGTTTGTTCACCTACGTTTACTTATGACCCACACATAAGTTTCCATTCTGTGTTTATTTTGTAGATGTATCCTTATCTAATATATAGTTCCACCAATTTAATTTTGTTTCCATATTGAATCATAGAAAATGGGTTTGATCCGACCTCCAAACGATCTCATGGTGATTCTGTAATAAGGAGTACCCAAATTACTTCCATGCTTAAATTCATATCCGTAAAAATCGAATAACGGATGTTTTGTTTTGTTTCTCCAAATATTTAGAACAATTTAACAATAGTCCATGCTTACTATTCCTTTTTTAAGAAATAGATACCTGTAACATATTTTAATTGCTCATTTGTTGATTTTTTTGTGGGCGTCGCATGGCGACGTTTCCGTAGATTTGACATTTTCCAGTAAACACTTCATCTGAACATTGATATATACTGTGAACGTTTTGTGTATATTTAAATATATTTAGCTATTTTGAAAGACGTGCATAATGTCGAAGCATAAAAATACAAATTGTTTAGTCTCTACGAAATCTTGTAAGATTTCTTCTGCTATTTTTGCTAAATGGGTGCAATTTGGGTACTTTGACGTAACATGTATAACAACAAATTTCCAAAGAAAAAATTTCAATATAACACATATAGCATTTTAACATGGATTTACAAAGAAAACGATCGGGTAATCGTGAAAACCATACGACATTGGGTCCTAATCGTACAATGTTGAAAAATTCGAAGCTATGCATAAAAGGAAACACAACGAAACAAATAAAAGACATCTACTGTCATGCAAGGGTAAAATTTTTGCTGGACTTTCTGATTTTGTTTAAATAGTTTGAATAATACATAGTGATTTTACTGATTGGAATGTCTCCCACTGACAATGTACCTGATAGTAAACAGATATCTTACCTGTTCCGTGAAATCATACAAAATTGCTCTTATAATTTTACTCTTATCACGAGTTCATAGAATTCACCCTTCGTTTATTTTGCTTCTCTTGCTCTACAGGGTATTATAATCTGTATAAACGCTGCGCATTTAATACACTGCGCTTATAAGGAAGGGATGTGATTTTGTTTGTTCAATTTAAATTTATTCATCGTCAACGTAACACAAATAATTAAACAACCAATCTAAAAGAATTGACACTATTATTTGCATCTCTAATTGGAAAACAAGATATGTTGGGTGAATTCTCACAATCCCACTAGGAAATAATCAGCATATCACACTAGGAAATAATCAGCATATCAAAGTAAAACACACATTTATTGATGTTTTTTTTGTATCACGTTCACTTTTACTAAATAGTTATATGCTTACATAAAGACCAAGACGTCTCTTAATTCGACGTACGTGTATGCAATGCTCCCTAATGTTCATAGATACCACTTCATTAGTATTTTAAAAAAATGTCTAGGGGAGTAATGCATAACATTTCTTTTAGAACTGATGACGTCTTCACCGCCGACTTTTGGTGGGGTTCGTGTTGCTCAGTCTTTAGTTTTCTTTGTTGTGTTTTGTGTACGTCTTTTCGTCGTTTTCGTTTTTGATGGGGTTCGTGTTGCTCAGTCTTTAGTTTTCTTTGTTGTGTTTTCTGTAAGTCTTTTCGTCGTTTTCGTTTTTGGTGGGGTTCGTGTTGCTCAGTCTTTAGTTTTCTTTGTTGTGTTTTGTGTAAGTCTTTTCGTAGTTTTCGTTTTTGGTGTGGTTCGTGTTGCTCAGCCTTTAGTTTTCTTTGTTGTGTTTTCTGTAAGTCTTTTCGTCGTTTTCGTTTTTGATGGGGGTTCGTGTTGCTCAGTCTTTAGTTTTCTTTGTTGTGTTTTGTGTACGTCTTTTCGTCGTTTTCGTTTTTGATGGGGTTCGTGTTGCTCAGTCTTTAGTTTTCTTTGTTGTGTTTTCTGTAAGTCTTTTCGTCGTTTTCGTTTTTGGTGGGGTTCGTGTTGCTCAGTCTTTAGTTTTCTTTGTTGTGTTTTGTGTAAGTCTTTTCGTAGTTTTCGTTTTTGGTGTGGTTCGTGTTGCTCAGCCTTTAGTTTTCTTTGTTGTGTTTTCTGTAAGTCTTTTCGTCGTTTTCGTTTTTGATGGGGGTTCGTGTTGCTCAGTCTTTAGTTTTCTTTGTTGTGTTTTCTGTAAGTCTTTTCGTCGTTTTCGTTTTTGGTGGGGTTCCTTTTGCTCAGTCTTTAGTTTTCTTTGTTGTGTTTTGTGTACGTCTTTTCGTCGTTTTCGTTTTAGGTGGGGTTCGTGTTGCTCGGTCTTTAGTTTTCTTTGTTGTATTTTGTGTACGTCTTTTCGTTTTTTGCCATGGCATTGTCAGTTTGTTTTCGACTAATGAGTTTGAATAGCCCTTCGGTATCTTTGGTCTCTCTTTATCGTGCAATTTTCGTTTCCCGACAAGATTTTTCGACCTTTATTACCTTCTGTTATTTTTGTATAGTTAGGTTTTACTTCTTCTTGAAAGGTTTCGATCACTTTATTAACAAGATCAAGATTATCTTTATCCTTTACGGCAAAAGTGTATTCCAACAGTCCCGTCATTTCTGTAAGACTCCAAATAAAGCCTCTGGATTTGTTCCTGAAGTACTTGTTTTCAAATCCCTACAAAAAGATAAATCCTTTCAATGAACTTTCTATTAACACAAGGCACATCAGATTTTACAATGAACTTTCTAGGCACATCAAATCCTACAATGAACTTTGTATTAATACAAGACACTTCAAATCCTTTCAATGAACTTTCTATTAACACAAGACACATCAGATCCTACAATAAACTTTCTAGGCACATCAAATCCTACAATGAACTTTGTATTAACACAAGACACTTCAATTCAATTCTTTCAATGAACTTTCTATTAACACAAGGCACATCAGATCTTACAATGAACTTTCTAGGCACATCAAATCCTGCAATGAACTTTGTATTAACACAAGACACTTCAAATCAATTCTTTCAATGAACTTTCTATTAACACAAGGCACATCAGATCCTACAATGAACTTTCTAGGCACATCAAATACTACAATGAACTTTGTATTAACACAAGACACTTCAAATCAATTCTTTCAATGAACTTTCTATTAACACAAGGCACATCAGATACTACAATGAACTTTCTAGGCACATCAAATACTACAATGAACTTTGTATTAACACTAGACACTTCAAATCAATTCTTTTAATGAACTCTCTATTCACACAAGGCACATAAGATACATATGTGTTTAAAAGGAAACGCTATTGCTGATATTCAAACTGCTTTTTATAGGACAGTATAAATATTTACGCGATATATTTGATCCAAATAAAGACTGCTATCAAAATAAAATCTTTAAAATGTACCTGTAGAGCGTTGTGCATCTTTCCAGCAAAAACACCTATATTGTATAGAGTAGTAGGTAAGTATGGTTTCTTACAAACGACATCTCCTTCAATGTAGTTTAACATGTGGAAAACGTATGGACCGTATGTACCTGAAAAAATATGATATTAATCAAAACACAAAATTGAATACATTTGTTTGTACCAATAACATTTTTACCAGGTACATGTATGATAAGATCAATTTATTAACCAGTTTAGGTCATTATGTATCAAACTGCCCCTTTATTGTTAAAAGCAAAACTGGTCCATTACAGAATAACAGGACATTTTAAATACAGGACCATTAGGAATAAACAGGGCTATTATGAATAAACAGGGACATTATGAAAAAAAAAAAAAAAAAACAGGGCCATTATGAATAATCAGGGATATTACGGATTTTCAGTTGTTATCAATTCAAATACATTTCTGGGGAAAAGAAACAACAAGAAATTGAAAGTTCCCAAGAATCACGACTTATCTTATTTGACCCAGTTGTCAAGTTAATAATTACATAATACATTCTATGATGTCTATCAATTTATTTAATTTTGAGTTTTAAAATCCAGAATGAAATTTTGTAATTTGTATGCCATAAATTACTTTGAATAGGACAACAATAAAACTATATTTACATTTACATGTTATTCCATCACATCACTTTAAAAGTTTCTTTTTGATATTGCATTTAAAAATTGGTATTATTATTTATATAGAATTTCTCAAAAAAAAACTGATTTGGTTTGGTTAAATATTTCACATTGACGGTTTGGTTAATAAAAGTGATAAAAAATGGGTGTTTTCAAATTTACCCTGTTATTTGTCATCGGTCAGTAATAATGACATCGGAGGCTGTAATGTCCCTCGGCGTTGCCTCGTGCCATACAGACTTCCTCGACCATTATAACAGACCTTGGACATATAACAGGGCCATAATAAATAAAAACACCCATTAATTAATACAATAATAATGAACAAGTGTTGTTTTCAATTTTCACAGCACTGGGTCGATAACTCTGCTGGTGGACTATCAGTCATCGAGGGTACCATCAGTAGTCAGTACTTCGGTACTGACATGATGTATAACAAACCTTTCTTAAACCGTCCGTTAATAAATTTTGTGATTTTTAAATGCAAAGTGGCTAAAAAGAGGCATTAAAACTCAATGAAACATTATATGGTGCATTCAAATCAATATTACTGAATTCTAGTAATAATTTAAATACAGTATTATCTCTCAACATCAATCTATTCTGATTTTCCTAAACAAATAGCATTTTTTTAGAAAATCAGAATGGATTGACAGGATTCATTTAACATTATAGATCATCATACTCTGTATTGACAAAATTGTTTTGTACTTTTTAAGCGTATTACAGATGGCGTCTGTTTCTGTTTAGCTGTCTAGGATGTATAATAAATACTCAGCCACGTCCGGTCTGTCTACGGACGTTAAATCCGATGACTCGTGTGGAGAGAGCAGCGCCACGCTCTCTGCACGTTTAACAACCCTTGTAACAACTCAATGAGTGATCTGTTGTATTCCATGTTTTAAGGTAAAATATTTGCCCTTATCCGGCATACCATCGTTTCCAAATGGCACTCCAAATTTACCACTCTTTATTCCGCTCGACTCACTAGATATAACTGATTTCATTAACTATTTATTTGTTCTTGTCCTGAATATGAATTTAACATTTGACATTGATCGTTGAGCAAGCATTCAACAGATCATTACCAATTAAATCTTTCATAAATGCCTGGAAATATGCATTTCTGGTGTTCCCCAGTCCGTTGTCTTAGCGGTTTAAATTGCCTCCGGATGTTACAATTACAGGCATTTTGCTACCGGGCAATGTCGCAGATACACCTACCCTTCTGAAAAAAATGTTGTAACTCCTGATTTAACATACGAGAGTTTGCATTGTTCATGCATAGTTTCAGTTATTTCTTTTGTTGTCTTGTAAGTATGATTGTTTAGTTATATATAGTTGTCTTTGTGTAATTTTTGATTTTCATGACATTTTGATTCCCTTCATACACGGTCGCTTCGGTATACTCTAAAGTCTTTAAAGTTGAAAACAATAATGATATTTCAAAACTAGTTATACATTTCTGAGTGAGTTTTGCACTTAAAATATACTAACGATCTGGATTCTTTTCATCTGGTACCATTTCTACTGCGCATGTTTGTCCGTGAATGTTGCGCACTGGTTCTTGTACAGGCAGACCTTTTCTATGCAAATGATGAAATAGTTGATGTTGGGCTTCTGTCCAACAAAACAAATTCAGTTAAAAATGCATATTAGGTAAATATCCACGAGATGACCTACCCTCGACCCACAAAATTCACAAGATAATAGAGGGTTCTGTAAGCTTTAACTGAATAAATTGGCTATCATAATGTATGAAAAGCTTTAAACCCCCGTTCCTTCATAAATAATGGTTTAAACCAGAGCCACATATATATATATATATATATGTCTCTGGTTTAACTTAGAAGTAAATACAATAATTTACAAAATAAGACGATGTGGTAAAATTGGCAATGAGACAACTTGTCACCATAGACCAAAGAACGTGGTTAAAAGCAATTATAAGTTACTGTACGGCCTTCATCAATGAGCTCAACAAATTGGTTTATGCTAAAACAATAACAACAAGAAAATAAATATTTAAGACAGCAAGAAACGACAACCACATATTTACAAGTAATTTGTTCCTGACTTAAAACAGAAATATAAACCGTGGCATGCGGCGGGGTTAAACATGTTTGTGAGTGCTCAAATCTATCTTAATCCCACTGATTTGGGGCAGTGGTATAAAAGCACAAGACAAGACCAAACTGTTGAATTTGTTAGAAAAGGTTTCCTTGTCAGATGGGCACGAAATTAAAAAAAAAACTATCTACAGAAGACAAAAGATCTAAAGTACCGATCTAAAGTTAAATTATCTACCAGTACACATCCAACATACATATAAAAATAAAGAGATGTGGTATGATTGCCAATAAGACAACTATCCACCAAAGTTCAAATGAAGTGGACGTAATCAATTATAGGCAACCTTACGGCCTTCAACAATGAGAAAAATGCATACCGTATAGTCGGCTATAAAAGGCCCCAACATGAAAAATATGAAACTATTCAATTGAGAAAACTAACGACCTTATTTATAACAAAACAATTTACGACAAAACAAATATGACAGACATTAACCGACAACAGTTCATTTAACTCGAGGAATGGTGCTGTTATCCTCACTCAATGTATACTGTTAAATTCAATAATTATGACATGACTCTCAATGGATGTTTAAAATTAAATAAAATGACAGCCATTCCGAATTCTTGAGAAACCCGTTTTATATAAATAACAAAAGAACCGTAAGACCATGGCTTTTCGGCCAATTATATGTGAAATAGTTGAACTAAGATTTCAATTACATTTCAGTCAGTTTGATGCTCAATTCATTTTTGAATAATAATATAAAGTTTTATTTATATGCGTTTTTCATTTACCAATTTGGGTAAAACACCTCGCGCCGTTTAAATGATTCAACTTGGACTAATACATTAATTCAGTAGTCCCATGTTTCAACAAAGATCGAATAGGAACTGCGGCCTTCAATTAATTTTACAAACTGCACCAAAATACAGAAAACATGAATTAAAATTATTTTATCGATAACATCTGGAATTGGTTTTCACTGAAGTTATCTTTACAGACCAGCGGGTGTTTAACCCCTTAATTGTGCGTCTTATCGCATATGTGAAATTAGTAAGTGACCCCATATGGAGCGAGGACGGGTTATTGTCCTTGTCGATACAAATAATTGTTTTCAAATTGGGTTATCTCCCTTAAACCGGACAGATTCTTGGCAATGAACAAGGTAAACAGGTTATACAGACATGTAGAATTATGATATATTTTAATGTTGTTTCTAGTATTTTAAATGTGTATCTTTAATTATCAGGTTTCTTTTCCTTTAATTTTGATTTGATCATTTCTTTCCATTTCCATTGAGTAAGTCCAGTTAACACACGTATAACCTCTATAAAATTGTGGTCAATCTTTATAATTCTCAATCCGAACATTATATTGTTACTTTTTCCATCAATTTCGACTTTCTTTGAACCCGGAAATTTCATCCATGTGTATCGCGCATGAATATCCATGTATCCAGTAAACATTTTAGCACCCACGCGTTCCTTTTGCCTCAGACATAGTCATACATGTAGCCAGTAAAATAATAACACGTGTTGTACACATTAGTACAGAAGCACTTAATTCAATACTACCTTACCTATTATAGCTGGGTCTTTGGAATCACCAGAGTTAAGTACTTTCAGTACATAGCCTGATGGGTGTATAGCCTCGATATATGTATTGCTTATGTCTGTGTCTACATGTATATGATAATTCCTGTCATCGTAACTGTTCAATTCTATGAAATCTATGATTTCCATTCCATAAAGGCGATGCACAATGTCCTTGATAAAAGACTGTGGAATAACGGGTTTAATCTCCGATGGATCTCTTTTTTCTACATCAACATTTCCGTTAAGTATTCCATTGGTAGGTGATGACATTCTTGAACAATTTTCGATACCTGTGAAAAGTCAAGATATGAACTAATAGTAAGCGGGTTTTTTGTTCATGCTACACTAGCGGGACAGTGACAGGTCACGTGTCAAGACGTATACCCTACTTTTTATGTTGTGGTTTCATACTTGTGATAGAAATACTTGTCTTGTTATATTCAAAAATACAATTGCTTACCGTATTTCTATTTTTATATATTTATCAAAAATTATTGCTGAAGTAACCAAGGCCCGTATGCATATAGCTACTTATCTTATGAAAATCTGCACGCAATTTTATTTTCTATTTTCTGGGGAGGGGCATGGCTTTTTCAATTAAATAAAGAAAAATATAACGTTAAATGTAAAAGGCAATTAGTTCAATTACTTTCAATAGAATTTTGGTATGCATTAGGATAAGAAATTCCTTCTCGACAATTTTTGAATAATTACTCATTATTTTCAAAAATCTATTTGAATTGCAGTTTTTAGTCATTTTAATCATTTATGAGTTTACTTTGTAAAATCTTCGGAAATATGCGAAAATAATCCTAAAACCTTTTTAATTGATTTAAAGAGAAGCAAGGATTTGTATAGTTAGAAGGATTGGAATCTCGTGGACTTTTGCATAGACTGTATTATAATGTCTTACGCAGCGCGAGATTTTGTGTGATTACCCATGGTGCATTTCGAAGATGCTCAGCGTGCCTTGATTAATGGCGGATTTTGCATCGCCTAAACATCTAGATAAACGTTATGAAAGTATTACAGTCCATATTTATCAAATGTTATGCTTGAAATAAGAAGTTTAAAATGGTTCTGGTGCAATTTATAAACTTTTACGATTGCAGTACAAATACACAGTTCCTAGAATGAATTTGCATTTTTACCCGAATGACCTCAACTTATCCCGCCTAATAGGCAGTCCAAACATAATTTTCTATTTCATACTCCTCCCTCATAACACGGATCTTACTATACAAATCCTTGAGAGAAGTGACAAGAAAGTATATTAAAAAAAATAATAATCATCCTGTATTGTTAGAGTTGAAAACTGGGTCTTTGGAATCACCAGACGGTTAATTTAAGTACTTTCAGTACGTGACATAGCCTGATTGGTGTATAGCCTCGATATATGTATTGCTTATGTCTGTGTCTACCAAAATAAAATCAAATTAAAACTAGAACACACCCGCGAAATCGCGGGCATTTAGAGCGTGGTTGAAAGTATGTAAACTTTTGTAGGATGAATTTTTGTAAAAGATTTTGTGACTGGAGAATTTCAGGAAAGGTATCAAAAGTCATAGGTACTTGGGGACAGGACAATTTGTTTAGCCCTCCCCCTTTTTTCCAAAGTCCGTTATTTTTTTTTCTTTTAATTTTCAATTATTTTCGCGCTTTTCTGTATACTATGTACATACATATACTATAAATAAAGTGTATTTGCTATTTACTATCAATCCACGCCAAGTTTACTATCCACGGCTCTCAATATAATATATCAGTGACCGCCGTGGATAGTAAACTTGGAATTGATAGTAAATAGCAAATACACTTTATTCATAGTATATGTATGATCATAGTATACAGAAAAACGCGAAAATAATTGTCCTCTCCTCAAGTACTTATGAAAATTATGTGTAAAAACAGTCCTAATCGGAAGTCTTGTCTATGACTTAAAAGTTCGTCCGATTACGGAAACAATATCCGGACGCCCTTATTTTCGTTTTCCTCCCAAAATAACCCAAACTAAATAATTAAAAGCGAGGATGACAAATGCGACTATGCATGGTACCTATAGGACACAGAGGCATGATGATTAATTTATTGTGAAAGGAAGAGAAGCGACACACAAAATGAGGTCTTCTCATTTAATAGTATAGATAAAGTGTTCTTCCTAAATGTACATAAATAGGGCGCAATTGTGCAGTGCACGTGGTAAGACGTCCGCCTTATTCTATAACTGAAGACGACGCCCGCCTAATTCTAGCTAGATCTATAAATGAACCGTCTGGTCATACAGTTTTAAGTCATGGCAAGTACAACCCTAAGCATTGATAACGGCAAATTCATTGACTATGCTACTGAGTATTTGTTAGAAGGTAGCCAACATTTGTGGATATACTATACGGGACAGAAGAACCAAGGACAGTTGTGTTAAATACCAATAATCTAGGTGTCAGGCAATCCAATGATTGATTGATTGATTGTTGGTTGCTTTACGTGTAGTGGCAAATATTTCATGCTTGTTCAGGATGAGAACAAATTAACAATAAATACAATATCTAGGTCCTCTAATAAAGGCCGTCTGGGATGAAGATCGGGGAAATTTGGTATTCCACTGGAAAATGAGGGTATATTTGATAGGGACAGAGATTTCGCCTTGCAACAGGCCACCTACGGACCCTTCAAGGAGTTATTGCAAAGGTTCTTATCGTGCAAAGAGAATGGCACTCTCTTTACACAATGCATCGGATTTAACGACCATTTTCTGAGCGGACGCGGTTGCGAACTTGTACACCCCGCACATCCAAACGGATGCACCACTTTGGCAAGGGTTTTACTGTCGGTCGATAAAAGACCTTAGCGACCATATTTCGAATAACAAGTCACGTTTTTTTAGGGGGAAAAAGGGGGGGGGGGGGTGGGTGGGTATTTAAAGTTGAAGAGATACGCGAAAGCTGCGCATTGTTGTCTGATTGAGCTAGTTCAGCTGTAAGAAAAACTTTCCTGATATTGACAACTCCAGTATCCTGCACGTGGAAAACGTGCTTTACGAAGCCAGAAAGAGATAATTTGAAGATAAACTGACAAATATAAAGACCATGTAGAACAGAGTGTTTCCAACAATTACAACACCCAGACAGATTTCGAATTTGGGCAGTGAGTCTTTTACTGTTCTAGAGTAATGCCCCTTTTTAACTTGGAAAATTGCAAAACTTGAGCGGGGGCATTCGTGTCCTCAGACACATTCTTCTTGTATTTAATTCAATTGCACACCACCATTGTAATTCAACACAAGTTCGTTTTAAAAGTAAGTATTCATTGTTCAATCAATGTAAATAATCAAAACAAACTTTTGCACAGATGATTACACGCGATGAGCTAACACATTTCAAACATTAATAAGAGAAAGGTTCCGATTTACGATTTCCTTAGTAAAGAGGACACTTATAAAGGCATACGACACAGTTACAGGGGAGATAATGACGTTGCTAACGTAAAATTAAGTTAGTTCTCGACTGACTACTACGCTTTGTTTTTTTTTCTTAAATCATAAACATTTAATAAAAATGAATTATTTCCAAAGAATTGATACACAAAATTAGAGCATACTTATGTAAAGAAGATATTCCAAATCTTTTAAAAAAAAAATATATATATATATATATATATATATATATATATATAAGTGCCTATAAATAGCAGCACATGACATACAAATCTATGGGAGTGTGGATTAATCAGTACAGAGATTAATTCAATTACACAAATAAAATTATAGATTGCCTAACAATGTAATTTTAACACACTATTTAGTATGTAAATATAAGAATGTTTAAAATATTTACAAAATGATGAAAATAAACGCAATATTTCGCTAGACTAACTAGCTTTATCAAGCGTGCATCTATCCAGGTGAAATCGGATGTAGATGATAAGAAACTTTTGCAGCTCAATGTATATGTTGCACTTGAATTTAGCTGCCTTGAAAATAATACATAATTTGGATGAAGTTCAAGATTTTTACAAAATTGGTAGTTGAAGTTAGCAACGTCCATTGGCCAATATTACAGGATAAAAGCATTTTATCGGATTTGAAATTATCAAATCAAAAGTATGCATTCCTCTTTTAAAATTAATTGTTGAGGATTTATAAAAGAGGATATTCCTCGACTCTACGAGTTACATCAAGAACGGAACCATTATAACGGACCTTCATACCAAACAAACGGACAAACATCAATTCCTTTCTCCTAAGAGTTGCCATCCTAAACACTGCTCCCGTGGCATCCCATTCAGCCAGGCATTGCGAATCAAGAGAATATGCTCTACTGAAAATACGCAAAATGCTAGACTTGGACAACTACGTAAACATATAGTTGTTCGAGGATACAATAACAACATCATTGATAGCGCTTTCGAAAGAGCAAACAAAACTAGTCGCCAAGAACTTCTAGAGTACAAAGATAAGAATAAAGCAGCTAACAGAACACCCCTTGTACTCACTTACCATCCTGATTTTAAAAATGTGTCTTCCATTGTTCAGAAGCATTGGAAAATTATAGAAAATGATTCAAATCTTAAAAAAGTATTTTCCTCACCACCAGTCATGGCCTTCAGAAGACCTAAAAACATCCGTGACAAATTAGTGACATCTGTATTAGCAAAGCAGCCTACTCCATCTCCCGGTTGCTACAAACAATGTGGTCGAAGGAACTGCTTGTGTTGTAAAGCTGCCAATACAAGCAGTTCTTTCATCAGCTCCGTTACTAAACAAAATTATACCATCTACTCAAATTCCAACTGTAAAACGGAGAACTCAATTTATATATTAACATGTGACACATGTGGCATTCAGTATGTGGGAGAAACAATGGACAAATTTAATATTCGGCTCAATAACCATCGTTCATGGTACAAAACCAACAAAAACTGTCCTCTCACAAGACATCTTCGTTCAACGAAACATTCTTTTGATAATGTTACCTTCCAAATCATAGAAGTCAACACCGAGTGGGACACCACGGCGAGAAGGAGAAGAGAAAATTTTTGGATCCACCAACTCCACACTTTAGAACCTGATGGTCTTAACGAAAAAGATGAGAAAAGATACAGGAAAGATAAAGAATAATTTAGTACACAGCATCGTCCTTTTTATCCTGTAATATTGGCCAATGGACGTTGCTAACTTCAACTACCAATTTTGTAAAAATCTTGTACTTCATCCAAATTATGTATTATTTTCAAGGCAGTTAAATTCAAGTGCAACATATACATTGAGCTGCAAAAGTTTCTTATCATCTAC